ATATTCCAATATTTTAGCTTCAGGGTTCAGTAATTATAAACATAACAAAGCAATAGCAATATTTACATAAATATATTAGATTTTAGGATATTCAAATTCTGATTTTACTATTATTTTTCATATTTTTACTTTAAAAAGATAAAGCTATAGAAGCTTATATTTGGTCTACCATTCAAGTATAAATGACCAAACCAGTCATCTTAATTTTCTGAGATAATCCAAGATTTGGCATGTGCTCCCCCCCCCACCAGTTTCTTAATTGCTGAAGTATTTGAAAGCCTATCTTCAGGGAAATTATACACACACACACACACACACACACACAATTTATTTATTTATTTTTATAAGGCTATGTGAAAATATCCTGAAATGTAATGTAAAAGACCAACACTGGGGATTGCTAATTTGGACTGTAATTATATTGATATAATCAGAGAATAGAGAAAAGTTTGGTTCCATTGAAATTTTACTACTTGAAAAATAGGGTCATTTGATTCAATTCACTTTAGGTGTGAGGTATTTTATCTTGGAAATATAGCTTTGGATAAATCTGAACCTTTATTCTCATTAATTTGCATGGAGAAATAGTTTAAAATAAAGCTTGATAGTAATGGATGAAGTTCCCCTACCTTGTATAAATGAAGACTGTCAGATTTGTGCATAGATTTCTGCACTGGGTGCTCTTAGAATTTTTTTTCTAAATAACATTAAGATTCTAGCTCATTGTCTATATATGTGTGGGTATGAACACACCCACACATATACAGTATGTACAATTTTTGAGACAATGGAAGGATAGCAATCAATTATTTAAAAAAACTATAAGAGATGAAGCATGCAAGGAATAATGTCTGTTTGTAAATGTTTCAATATTTATCAGCTTATCGTCATTTGGCTTTTGGCTATAATGAGAATAATCATCCTGCTTACAATCTGCCATTTTAGTGGCTTTAACTGTACAAGTCCATAAGTTTTAATATACCTCTTTCTGAATTGTGACCCTTTACAATACATGTTTAAGTTAACTGAGACAACAATGACTACTAGTTCCTTATATATGTACCCCTTTCCCAGGTTATATATTCTATTTAAGATCAAAGACACATGGATAAGTTTACATATTTCCTTTCTGAAGTCAGAAGACAGATGCAAGACAATAGCATCCAAATAAGAAGAAAACCAAAGCTCAAACTGGCCCAAAAAGTGTTGATTACTCTTTTCTAATGCCTTGTTTTAATTAATTAAATGGAACAGAGAAAAAAAAATAAACAGTAAAGCAATGTGTGTCTATACATGTATATACTGTTTTACACATCAGGCTCATTAAACTATTAGCATATTTTATTGTAATTGTCCATCTATAATCTATACCTGTAGCCTCAAGTAACATCAGGCCTTCAATTCACAAGTCTCAAGTAACATCAGGTCTTTAATTCACTAGGTAATTGTGAACATAAGTTTATTTTATTGTAATTGTCCATCTATAATCTATACCTGTAGCCTCAAGTAACATCAGGCCTTCAATTCACAAGTCTCAAGTAACATCAGGTCTTTAATTCACTAGGTAATTGTGAACATAAGTTTATTTTATTGTAATTGTCCATCTATAATCTATACCTGTAGCCTCAAGTAACATCAGGCCTTCAATTCACAAGTCTCAAGTAACATCAGGTCTTTAATTCACTAGGTAATTGTGAACATAAGTTTATATTTTCAATGTTGAAGTACTAGTCTCTTAACAATAAGAAGAGTTCAAGGAATCTATTTCTGCTATGCTGTGATCGATTTCCATGTACTAGATGTATATTAAAACTATCTCAGATCAAATAGTGTATGCAACCTCTTCTTCCCAGAACAGAACAACTTGAGTACATTCAAAAACTTCCCTGTTAATGAAGCATTATTCTCACTGCATTGCCAAGAACATAGTTTACTGATTCCTATACCATATAAATGCAGTGGAGTTCAATAAGTCAGAAATTGTGTAAGATCTATTGAAATTTTTGATACAGATGTAAAGTTAGTTTTCTAATGTTCAGACAAAATGTGAATCTCCAATTCCTTATTCCATGCAGTTTTTAAAATTTGCATTTTGGATTTATTTATACATGGCAATTATTTGTAAAAATAATGGGGGGTAGTCTCATTAGATTTAGTGATTTATTTTTTACTAATGTATCTGTCAGTAGCTAAAAATAACACTGGGCCAAATTTCAATTAGTATTGTAGTTATAGTTACTGCCAATGGGTGGCAACAGAAAAATGGCATTTAACCTTTAACATAGAAAATGATTTAAAACGTTGCAACACCGAATAATTATTCTAAAATAAAAATCACAGCAGCAATATAATTTCCCATATAACAAGTGTTTTAATCAATACTAAGGTCTACATGACCCCATGGTGTCATTTTGGTATCAGAAAAAGAATCAAATGAAAATTTCCAAAAATGATATACCACAATTTCCAAATAGATTTAATTAATAATGCCATCTATTTAGAACCCCAAATCCTGCAATTAACACTGTGTGTCAAAATTTCAAAAGAGCCAGAGAAGGAGAATTTATACCAAGTGAAGCCATCCAATACCATGCAATTTGGTATTCGTCAAAAGGTAGGTAACATAAAGGATGACACATTTTTAGGTTAGGGATACCAAAGGTCCCATTTTTAACTAACAACTAGTTAAATTTTCTGCATTTTTGAAGAAGAACACATAGCACTGAAGTTATATTTGGTTTTTGAAAATCTTTTCCAGATGGGAATTCCCCACACAGTTTACATTTGATCCCTAAGCATCAATCATAACAATAGCTGTATCAGAGGCTTTCAAGCATCTCTTTATATCAGTTATAATGTGTTGAACCTGTAAGATTAGGTGTATGCCTTAGTGACTTTCTCTGGGTTAATAAAATAGATATTATATGGCTAACCTTGAAAACCTCTCAGAAGTTTGAGCTGGCCCTGAATAAGGTGAATATTTATGGATATGCCACAAGAATGCCCTGGTAAGACCTTTGCTACATGAACTATAGAGGTCAGTAGGCTTCTGGATGCAAACAAGGTGCTGGTTATCAAATAGGAAACCCTTCATGGTACACCCCTCAAATAACAAGGGAACAACTTTCTCCTGAGGTGCCTGCTTGTCCTGACATATCTGACAGAGTAATCGTGTTTTCAATCCCATCTATCAAACTGTACCATCTAATGGGGCCCAGTAGCCGTGTCTTCTAAGACCTGGTTGTTTCCTGAGATATTGGGGCAAATTATGGTTGGGCTTGTTTGGTTTTGCTTTTATTGTGAATGTCTCCCATTTGGTCATCTTTTATTTTTCATGATTCTGTTATTTTAACTTTTTAATGCTTTTAATTAGTATAGAACCCAGGGTTGTTTTGAG